CTCCCCATTTCCCCTTTGGTAAAAGGTATATGCATATATTTCTAACTCTGATCCCACCAAAAAAAAAAAAAAAAGGCAGATCTTCAGAGATGTACTTTCTTCAAACTGAGACAACTTCACAAGTCAACACACAAAAAAATCACCTAGCCTACGAGGTGAGTCCTACCACAAGACACTCTTTCTACAAGCTTCAAGTTTCCAAAGGGTTAGACATTTACTTCACGTGCAAGGACATTTCCATTTCCTTGGAAGGAAATCATAAATGGAAACTTTCCACTTGTACTGAGTATTTCCCTGAGACCTGTCAACATTCACTAGGAGCAGAGAGATTGAGAGTGACTGCCCATATTAACCTTGAATACCATCTCAAGATGAACCTGCACTGTTTCTTTTTTCTTTTTTGGTTCCAAGTAAAGACTTCCTGATTATTTTTTCTCCCTGCCATAACACTTTCTGGGAGCTCTGGTAGCATAGTGGCTAAGGCACTTGACTGCTAACCAGAAGGCTGGTGGTTCAAACCCACCAACCACTCCTCGGAAGGAAGGTTGGGCAATCCTACTTCCGTAGTGATACTGCCTCAGAAACCAAGGAGGGGTCGCTATGAGTCAGGGCTGACTCGATGGCACATAACAACAACAACAACAACATAACACTTTCTTGGCCTTGTAATGCAATTCACCTCAGGAAATAATTTGCTTTACCAAATTCTTTTCTTAAGCAACTTCTAGAAGACATGTCTTTTGATAAGGAAGTTAAAACTGTGTTTCAAAGGTAAGCACAACTATAATATTGGACATGGTTACACTATAATCCCAAGACAAATATGTGTGTAAGTTATCAGGCACACCTCTATTTATGCATTTTCCCAGTCAACTATATCAACCATAACCACAGAGAGATTTCTGATCCTCTAGTCACAGGCCCTTCTCAGAACACTGTGGTTGTCAAAATTAGTGGAAGAATCAATAGTTAAGTGAGACACCATTCGTAAGCTTACAAATCAATCAATACAGAAAAGTCTGCTAAGAAATCACTAGAGAGACTGCCCTTCCATAAATACACACACTTATACATACCCCACATGTAGAAATATGCATAAGGACAGACATTAATAGGAAGGTTAGGTCCAACTCCAACTACGCAAGATTCTGCAAAATGAAATGGAGGAGCTTGACACAAAAGCAGTGAAAAATAAGTTAAAAAGGCAGTAGTGTTGCTGGCAAGATTCAGATGGAAAAATAGCAACAGATTCCAGAAGCTGAGCTGAAGCCAGGAATAGCCTATGCTCAGGCCATTTTAAAGAAAGGCAGGATAATATTCACTAAGGATTCACTGCAATGGTTGCCTCAGGTCTCTGGGCCCCCCGGGTTGAACCATGACTTGGTCTTTTAGTCAATCAATAAATATTTACCAAATACAATACTGTATATGCTAGTTCTGGTAGCATAGTGCCTAAGGTACTTTTCTGCTAACCAGAAGGCTGGAGGTTCAAACCCACCAGCCACTCCTTGAAAGGAAGGTTGGGCAATCCACTTCCGGAGTGATACCACCTCAGAAACCCAAGGAGTGGTCACTATGAGTCGGATCCGACTCGACAGGAGTGAGTATATGCTACATGTTTGGGGCTCTGCTAGTCATTGTGGAGAGATAAACAAACCTTTATAAGGCATATATATACCAGGCACTGTGTAGACAACTATTGTCTTCACCTCACCACCAGCATGGGAGTCATCTCCCCTATTTTACATATCAGAGGATTAAGAATTCTACAGGGCCACGCAACTAAATGGAATCAGTCCCTGACCCAATTCTGCCCACTCCAAAGCCCATGATATTACATTACCATGCATTAAGTAGCATAGTGCGTAAGGCACTTGACTGCTAACCAGAAGGCTGGCGGTTCAAACCCACCAGCCACTCCTCGGAAGGAAGGTTGGGCATTCCTACTTCCGTAGTGATACTGCCTCGGAAACCCAAGGAGGGGTCGCTATGAGTCGGGGCCGACTCGATGGCAAATAACAACAACAACAACAATGCATTAAGTATGGCTCTTGTTCTGTTGTTGTTGTTATGTGCCATCAAGTTGGACCCGACTCATAACGACCCCTCCTTGGGTTTCTGAGGCAGTATCACTACGGAAGTAGATTGCCTCATCTTCCTTCTGAGGAGTGGCTGATGGGTTTGAACCGCCAGCCTTGGCTCTTGTTCTAAAGAGGTTTAAAATGAACTAAGCCAGGGAGAGATCAATAAAACCAATATATGAATGGCTAACAAACAAGCATCTTAGGAATTTAAAAAAAAGAATAGAAATGAGTAGTTAGAGAATATATTATGAAAGAAGTCAATTGTTGGTTCCTCCTAGGAGAATGGGTAGGAATTGATAGAAGAGTGGAGAGAAGAGAGTGAGTTTCTAGGAAGAGCATTATGAGCAGTGACATCCAGTGGAAATGAGCCTGGTCTTCCTGCTGCCTTGCCAAGCGTCCAAACTGCATTTAAAAAAAAAAAAAAAAAAACTCACTGCCGTTGAGTCGATTTGACCCATAGCGACCCCTCCTTGGGTTTCCGAAGGGTATCACTACAGGAGTAGACTGCCCAATCTTCCTTCCAAGGAGTGGCTGGTGGGTTTGAACTGCCAGCCTTCTGGTTACAAGTCAAATGCCTTAGGCCCAAACCCACTGCCATCAAGTCAATTCTGATTCATAGAGACCCCATTTATGTTTCCAAGGTGGTAAATCTTTCCAGAAGTAGATTGCCCAGTCAGTCTTCCTTTGGTGGAGTGGCTGGTGGGTTTGAATTTTGCCAACCTTCTGGTTAGCGGTCAAACGCCTTAGGCACTCCTACACCACCAGAGCTCCTTTGCATAAAGCAAAGGCTCTAATAACAACTGAAAATAGGATTTATTTAGGAAAGGTGAGGCCTAATTATTGAAGGCCTTGAAAAATCAAGTCAATTATTTTAGTCTTGAAATAGTAGACGATGGAGAGGAATTGAAAGCTACCAAGCAAGGGTGATGATGTGATCATTTAAACAAATTCATTGGGCAACAGCATGCTGACCAGACCTGAGAGGGGAACCATCTGCTCCAGAACTGTAGAGAGGAAAGGCAAGGCTCTGAATTAGACTAGAGGGAGGGATCTATATACAGCACATTTCAAAGGTCTTGATGACTCATTGATATAAAGGATGAAGGAGACAGAGGAAGTGATGGGTAAAGTTAAATTCCAAAGTTTCAAGACTGATACTACTTCTACCTTTACTAGGTTCCTCAAAAAGTAATAAGAACAAACAAACAAGGAACGTATAAAAAGGGCTTTGATAATTTTTTTTTAAGGGGGCAGCTTTGATGATGCTGAACAGTCAGCAAATAAAACCCCATTCTTTATGCTGGTAACTCATTTTGCATACAGTCTATAGGTGAGAGCCTTTGGCTGGGAGGGGGTGGGGGGCTGGGACACACCACATTTCTTTGTAACTAAAGGCTGAGTTCCCTTGCCAAGGATTACAGGGATCTGTCTATTCAGACTAGCTCCATTAACCCTCCAACACACCCCTCCAACATCTGATACTAGAACAGCCTCATTGAGAAATGTGGCTGCCCCACTCTTGCCAAGCCACCAATGCTAATTTGGAGGAAGAGGACAAGGCAATGTGGACAAGTGGAAACATAAAGTGGGTAGGGCCACTGCAAGTTTTCTACAAATACTAGTCCTCAAGTAGATACAAAGGCTTTAAACACTCTATTAAATTACAGGGCTGTGTTGAGAAACAATTTCAAATGTGCATATTTATGCATACATTAACTCCTAGCACAGATAACATATGGTTGAGGCACAAATTCCTCTTAGTAATTTATAAGTACACTACATAAATTTAAAGCTCATGTTAATTTTCTATTCAGCAATGGTACAATTCACTATTAGAGGCACATCCTGATAGCCCACTCACTAGTTATTATTACATGTGAGAAATGAAACCTGTAACTATCAAACTTCTATCACTACAAAGACTGCGCCAAGCCAAAAAAAAAAAAAAAACACGCACCGATTGTAGTCAATGTCATGAGACAAAGTGTATGGAAAGTGAATTTGCTCTGTAAATTTTC